AGATCTTAAAAGTGTATTTCCTTTTCATATTCAGTGTGAAAATATTTTAAACATTACAGATGTTAAATATTTTTAACTGGTTGTATTTGCTGCTAAGCATTTAATTGCAGAGGTTAATTACTTGTAATTTATGCTTCTAGAAAATAATCTGTAATCTGTTTTAACAAACAAAATACATAGTATGGTTGACTTTACATAAAACTTCATTAGAAAGTGCATTTGTGTCAAGACAGTGTTTGCTCCTGCGGAGTTTTTGTGGGCAGCCTTAGTGGAGATGGATGCAGTCTCTTAAATTAAGTCTGTGTGTGAATGGAATAAGATTTTTCCAGAAAGGAAAGTAGGTCTTAGTCATATTGCCTTTCAGGGACAGCTATTCTGCCTGCATTTCTGGATCTTACTTTATTTAGTAAATATCACGGTTAGTATTTTGCATCTCTTCTGTCATCAGCTAGTTGTGGTCCACTTTGCTGTGCACGTTTGGATGTCGGCTCATTCAATCTTGCTGGCCAAGCTCTGCAGTCTGAACCTTGGGAGCTTTTGATTTGCTTTGTTTGTTTGGACTTGTTTTCTTCCCCCTGCCCTTCCTTTGTTTTACAGATAGGAAAGTTAGCAAAAAGTTTCTCTGTTCTATAAGGAAAAACTTAAAGGAAAAACTGAACAAAGTCTGCTTTGCTTAGATTCAGTGCGTGCTCTTTGTTGCTCCGTGAACAAAATAATCATTCTGCAAACTAGTGCTAGTTGTGGAAGACTTCTGGGTAGCTTCATGGACCTTGTTTTAATAAGTCCCAGTGATGATTTTATTATGTTTCATGATTTTTACTTCATTTAACTGAACGTGTTGACATGGCTTGATGGTCTTGTTGATATGTGCCTGGACATTCAGAAAGACAAGATAAATGGGAAAAGGCTTTCTTAAGGAAAGAAAGAATTGGGTCAGTCCTTCATCTGCTCATTGTTCAGCCCTGGGCTGATTTTTCCCTCAGTACCTTTGGAGTTAAATGTGAATTTCTTCTCCATGGCTGTACTGTAACTCAACTTTAACTCTGCAGCAAGGGGAAAGCAGTATCAACTGCTAGCTGTGTGAGTGTGTATTTTGGTTTAGGAAGGAAAACGCCACCTGGCAGAGTAAGAGGAATTGGAAAAGGTCAGCAATTGTGGTACATGTTAGAATTTGACCGCCTTCTCCAGCATGACTTTTCTTCAATAAATTTCCACTACATAGTTACCCACCTTTGTCCTCTCCATTAATTGCACTTTGATTTAAGAGTTTATCTCATAAATGCTGAGACATTTACAGTAAATAAAGGTTAACAGAATAGATTTTTTTTTTTGAACAGCAGGCTCTAGACATTTAAATGTGTCAGACTTGATGATAAACTGATGTAGTCTCTAATAATGACATACTAAGAAGGGTAAGTACCTTTAGAATTCAAAAGGGGTCCTGCTCTTACCATTTCTCAAGCATCCCTGCCTGATTTCAGCCTTTGGATGTTTGTGGGGCTAGAAAATGGATGCCAACTTAACAATTCTATTAAAATTACAAATTAGCTTCCTTGGAAAAAAAAAACCACTTAAAGCCTGTTTGTTTTTATTTTCCCTCCAGGTCTGATGATGACAATGCAGATGACAGGAGTTCCAGGGTGACCAGACTTTGCACTTACTTTCAGCAGAAATACAAGCACCTCTGCCGCCTGGAGCGGGCAGAATCCCGTCAGAAGAAATGCCGGCATACGCTCCGGAAAGCCTTGCTGCAGGCGGCCAGCAGAGAGCCGGAGCGTGCTGGGCAACTGATACAAGAACTCCGAAGAGCTACGTGTGCTCGTACCAGGTTAGACCTTCCCCTGTGACTGCAGTAACGCGGGGCCTGGACAGGGTGGAGATGGGCAGAGTATCCAGCAGCTGAAATGCTGAACTCTGAAACTGGTAGGCATGACACATGACACATAAATGCCTGTCAGTGGAGTAGAATAAACATAGCATACAGCGTTTTCCATGAAGACAAGCATTCTTGAGCTCTGTGTTTTAAAATATGGACTGTTCGTTCAGCAGTATCCGGGCCCAATTTCTTAAATGTCACAAAAGAAGTAAGTGGCCTGCTAAAATTTATTCTTACCAATTAATCTATGTGTTTTGGCTGCCTTCAAATGTCTGGTACTTTACTAAGCTTAGTTCTTCAGAAGGTGTGCAGTCTGGTCTGCAGTTTATTGCTTCAGTTCAGATTTTGTTTTTCAGACAGCTTTTTTTGAAAAGTCTGTAACTCCTCTTAATTCTCTTCCCAGCAAATCAAACTTAAGCTCACGCTTTTTGTTAGATTTAACTTAATCTAACATTAAATGAAACTTGGCAACAAAATAAATATCTTCTAACAGCTCTGAAGGTTACCTTCTATGGGAATTCTTTCTAGGTAATGTCAACATCCCTCCAGCTCTTGGCATACTGAGAGTTGGATGATGCATATTTGTGCAGAAACAGAGTAAGTCTGAACCCTGGCGTTATGTCTGGGGTACCAGCAGCATCCTTTTGCTCTTGTGGTTTTGCTTTACAGGATGTGTGACTGTTGGGGGGCAGAGGGGGTTAACATGAGAGGCAGGCTAGAGCAGGGTACTGAGAGTATATTCTGGTTAGGGGATGCTTTTGTTCCTGGACAGTGGGCTGTGGTTCATGACAGTTGGAGGGCTTATTGTTGGGCAGGTGGAGTGATGCTGAAGAGCTGCTCAGAGGTGTAATGTAGAGGTACATTACTAGTTTATGAAGTTGTGTAAATGTCTGCGAACTTAAACTACAGCAAAACCTTGCCAGAACTGGCAAGCTCTTGCTGTTTTTTTTTCCCATTATTTTTGCATTTTATTACACAAAAAAGATTACATTGTTTTGGGTAGACTGGCAAAGCCAGGTATGCCTGTCATCACTGTTCTGGTTAATTTAAGTAACCACAGAGTCTTTTCAGTTACGAAATTTTTCACAGGGGTAATATTGCTAACTAAAACTTTGCTCAGTCAAAGTGCAGTCGATGACAGAAATGACTGAAGGAAAACAGTCAGGCTGCAGACAGCTTTTTGGCAACCTAGAACACAACGTGTACAGAGGTGAAATTCAGCCCTGGAACCGCCAGCTTTATCTACACGAAGGTGACAAATGCCTTGAGAGCAGGCTAACACTGAGCGAGCTGTGTAATGCTTGCAAGTACTCATCCACACTGCTGTCTGGTTGCCTGCTTGCAGCTCAGGCTCAAAGCGTTGAGGCTGTGCTGAGGAAGTGCTCAGCTCCGGGCACCTGCTGGTGGATTGGGCTGTAGCACGTTGATGGAGGAGAGCTTTTACCCATGTTGAGCACGCTCAGGCTCTGCCACTCCAGAGCTCAGTCTAAGTTTGTCTGAGCACATGCTTGCATGTAAGCTCTGGGGATGCTCGGCATGTTTTGGTTTATGAACAGGCTTGGAATTGCACTTGACTGCCCATGTAGACATACCCAATACATTGTATTCTAAAGATTGACCTTGTTTTAAGGGTCACCTGTGTTGACACTCGTTTACTGCTGTCCTTGGCTCTGTTGCAGGGTGTTGTAGTATTTACATGGTAGTAGCACACAGCACCTCTCCTTACAATTAAGGCCCTGTGAAATAAACAATAATCCTGTTACTGCAGTCACACCTTCACCTGTCATTGACATCTACTTTGTATCCCTGTGTACAGTCTGGTAGTAGTGTGCACCCATCTGGATCATGACACACACGTGTGTGTTATAATTTTTCATCCTACTGTGCCCCATTCAGTGCAATTGTTGTGCTAAGCAACCACCTGAGACTGGGTTTTTGTCTCTAAACTCTTTTATGCTTTTTTTTCCAGCACAAGCCAAGCGAGGCAGAGAGATGGAGAACCAACAACCTGTAGTGGGACTTCGAAGGGAGAACAGTGCACTAACAAGGCCCTTCCATTCACCAGGCATTGTTTTCAGCGTATCCTCTTAACTCTGTTTGGGAGTTGCATTCAGGCATGGAAGCTGTTCTGTTTTAGGGGTTTTTGCTTGTTAGATTTTTGCATTGACAAATACGTTTTCACAAAGAAATACCTATTTGTTAGTGTCTTATCAACTGCTTTGCTTTTAATTTGTCTGTGATTTGGATGTGTAGACAGTGAAGATAAGTAGTTTGCCACTGGTATCTATCATAGTCACATTGTTTTACTTGGTAAGCTGTATTTAGTAGGTACAAGAAGCCTTTACAAAAATCATCATCTTTCATGGATGACTTGGTACAAACTGCATGGCTTAGCCTCATGGCTTTCATACGGTTTTTGGTAGGTAGACTAACTACCTATGAAGGGTTTATGGGAACAAGTTTTTACACATAGTATAAAAAGTTGGCTTACACTGACTAGAAAGATGGAAATCTGATACTTTGCATTGTTTGAAGAAACAGAATAGAAGGAGTCACAGAATCCAAATTCTAGATGAGGAAGAATTTCCAGTGCTGGGGATTTCAAGCAAAGTCTGAAAAGGATGTTAAGAATCAATGCATGAAGGTCACAGAAAGGAGGGAGCACATTAGATGTGAGGTTTGATTTTGAAGTCTCTAAAGAGGCAGACTTCTGACCTGGAATACTTAAGAATTCTGCAGACTTTGTCTTTTTTGTTTTTAGCTGAAGAATTGTTGATGGTTTTGTTGGAGAGGCTCCTTTTGTTCAGGCTTTTGCTTTTGGTATTTTAAGTAACTCGTGTTGATCTGTTTCAGTTGCTGTTAGACTGCAGCACCTTTTCAGTCTTTTTGGTTTGCAGATGCCTTGTTTTTCTTGGTTGATTTTTGCAGGCCCCTTAAAAGCAGTCTGCAGAGCAGTTCAAAACCTCTCTGTGAGACAGCATCATGGTGTGCAGCTGTGTTTGGGATTTGCCTCATGATTCTGATTTTTTTTTTTTTTTAAGTTTAAGCGGTTTTGCTTCTTGGTGTGCGTAGAGCAGAGAAGTCAAGACTAGTGATTTTGCATTTGTGCCCATTTTTTCCCCTCTGCATTTTCTTCTCAAGCAGACAGTCTCTCCTAAAATGAGCAGGCTCTCGGTTCTGACCTATCTGTCCAAATCTGCCATCTGGACTGTTCTGCAGGTTTTTTTTCTTTCCTTTTGCATTTTAACATTTTCTGAACATACATAGTGACGTTGAGGTCTGAGAACTGTTCAAGATGGAAGAAGTGCTTCTAATGTTGTTTGAAAAAACACAATGAAATATCTGTTTGATTTGCTCTAAGTCTGGAAACATTTTCACTCCTGCAGGGGATTTTTCTGAAGGAAATCTCAGCAAGCTTACATTTGGATTTATTTGACCTTTCTGTCTGATTGCACATCTTTTTTTCAGAGGAGCAGGAAGGATCTTGAAACTTCTTTGTCTGTGCTCTAAAGATAAATGCCAAGAATGTACCTTAAAAGACTGAATTAAGAAATACTCTTTCTTTAATGTTTCAGTATGGATTGTCATTAGTCTGTGAGGAAATAGTCCTGTTGACTACACTGTTCCAACTGCTACTATTGATCTATTGATTGAGACTCCAGGAAAAGGCGTCTTTTTGCTAAGAACTCATTAGTGAAATGGCTGCTTCCATAAACCTATCTCAATATATAATAAAATCATTAGAGATTCTGCATGAATGCAGTTTTTCACTTTAAAAGTTGGGTTTGAGCCTTACCTAGCTTTGAACTTGAATAACAAAGTTAAGGTACTCATTAAAAATAGCATCTATGGACAGACAGAGTTGAAGGCTCTGATCTTCATCAGATCAATAAATCAAAGGGCGTTCCTCCATCATTGCCTCGTGTGTTATTCCTGATGCAGAAATGCACAGATATCTTATTGAACCGTTCTCAGCAGCTCTTCTCAAGTTGCACAGCCAAGTTTGCGGATGGTCAACAGTGCTCTGTGCCAGTTTTTGACATTACACATCAGACACCTCTGTGCGAAGAACATGCCAAAAAAATGGTAAGTACAAAGTCAAAACTGTAATCATTTGCATATTGGGATGATCAGGAGTTTTAGCCCCAGTCTTTCTATGAACTCGTGCCTGACAACTAGCAAGTTTATGAACTAAGAGCTCGTTTTTTTTATTTTTCTTAAGAGGGTAAAACTTGCCAAACATTCCCAATTAGTATAAAATATGTTGTGAAAATCTTTTACGTGCTTTTGAGGATATAATAAAGTGTGCACGAGAATATCCTTCACTGGAAGAAATTTGATTCCTCTCTTAAATCAAGAAATAGAAAATCATTGGGAGGGATCCTGTGGTCATTTTATTTGGGCTCACTCCTGGCCCTTGGATCTGAATATGGTATGAGTGTGGTATGGTAAGAACACTGCATCTCAAAAAGTCTCAGTACATGGGGCCCAAAATATTTTCTAGAGGAAGTGTAGACAGCAATTACAGGCATACAAATAATGGCTTTGCTACTTAATTTACCTTTTGGTGACTATTAGAATTTATATCTAACCACCTTCAGGGATCTGTGGATGCCAGAGGAAAAGCAGTGACCTACCACAAGTTGAGAGAATGCAGAAATTAAGATGATATCCTCTGCTCCCCTTTTATGCTTCCCATCTTCCAGAACAGAACTTTTAGGATAATTCACAAACCCACTTCTGTCTTGCCCCCCGCTTCAAGGCATTAGGTGTAAAAACACCTCTTTTTTTTTGTTGTTGTTCCGTTGTTGGGTGGTTGTGGGGTTTTTGTTACTGTTTTTGTCCAGCCTCTCCAATACTTGTAAATTACAGAGTTTTCTGGACTAAAATGTGAGGGTCTGCGCTACACAGATTTGTATGGGATTTTCCCCCTCTCCCAGGCAATAATCAGTGTGTCTCTCAAGGTTTACTTTTGTAGCACATACAATCCTCTGCCATTCCTAGTATGATTGCAACTGAAAACTGATGATGAAACCGTTTATTTTTTAATTGCTCAATGATTGCTGTTCAGAAGCAATGAGGCCTTAGTTGTTTACCCTCATCCTTACCCTAGTCCTACAGTATTAATTCCGTTTCCTCAGTGCTGTCGCTCTTCGATGGCACTGGGTGCTTGGGGATGTTGGCTTCAGCTGCTGCACACTGTCCCTATTATCACCATCTCATAACCATGTTCTGTCTTTAATTCTTACAGGAATGCTGCCAAAGGTTACAGTTTTGCACTGATTTAGTTAGGGTTCGCTATGATGATTATTAAAGTGACACTGCACGATCTCCTATTTAGCATACCTCGTAATTTGGTCTGTGTGATTTTTGGCATTGGGATCAATGAGGAAGGAAACAGCTTAATTTCTGTAACCTTGCCTGGGTGTAAGTTAGTCTCTTGCATTACATGTGCATGTCTGCGGAATGACCAGGGTGGGAAAAAGCAAGTAAACTAATAATTGTTCTTAATATGCTCCCATTGCTATTGTTTTATTCCCAAAGGACAATTTCTTGAGAGGGGACAGCTCCCGTAAAGTTCAGCACCAGCAGCAGAGGAAACCCAGGAAAAAAACGAAGCCACCTGCACTTACCAAAAAACACAAGAAGAAGAGAAGGCGAGGCCCACGCCGGCCCCAGAAACCCATTCCTCCTGCAGTGCCCCAAGGGAACCTCACCATGCCTGCCAGTGTCTCACTGCCAGTAGAGATGCCCCACATACGGTCAGTGGTAGCCCTGCGCCAGCTTGCCCACTGCTATCTTGAACGTTGTCAACGAGCATTGTAGAAAGGTGTGATGTTGCTGTGCTGATCAGCATCTGGAGTGGGGCTAGAAATTGCATCTTCATGTGACTGTTGAAAAAAACCTTAGAGTGGGTCATTTTAGATTTGAGCAGTTACTGACTTTGATGGATAAAATGTTCTGCTCCTGATGCCCATCTTGTGTATTTAATCAGTAGGCTAAGTGTACGCTTCCTAAAGAAACTTCCTAAGAGTGTTTCTTCCCTGGATGATGGGGGGAAAAAAGAAAAAGGTGTGGGGAAACACCCATTATAGATGGATATGCATTCATAGTTGTTGTTTGGAGAAATTAGAGTTGAATCCTGTGGACTAATGGTACTTTCTGTCTAGGAGCCCCTCCACACCAGAGCTGAGTGCCGATGAGCTGCCTGATGATATCGCCAACGAAATCACAGACATTCCACATGACTTGGAATTGAATCAGGAGGACTTCTCTGATGTCTTGCCACGGCTGCCCGATGACTTGCAAGATTTTGATTTCTTCGAAGGTACCATTTTATTTTATTTTATCTTATGCTAATGTGAACACAGTCGGTGAACTAAAGAAGTGTTTCTAAAATGCATTTTGAGGGGTTGCTTGCTTTCCTACAGAGGTAATAACTTCTTGACAAGAAAGTGAGCATTTGCGCTATTGTTTGTTTGTGAGCTCTGAAGTAAAGTAGACTTTAAGACGACTGGTGTGTGTAGTTCTCTGCTTGCTCTTATAATTACTGCTCTGGAAATCCTAATTGGTTTAGTATTTTAATAATTCATTTTATGTTTTTACTGCCTGTCAGTGTTGCAGTTTAATCAAGAGTATTCTCAGTAATGGCATCTTTCTGCCATTGAGTGGGGCCGGAATCACAGTCAATGTTGGCCTTTGATAAAAGGAGAAGAGAGTGAGAATAAAATCTTTAAATACATTTTTGAAACTAGCTTTAGATCAGAACTGTGCCTGAATTTCTGGATTCTAAAGTTCAGTACCTATCACAGATAACAAAGAAATTTGAATAGCCCAGAGCTGGGGTATGTGATTTCTTTGGTCATTTTCAGATATGACATGACATCAGACTGTGTTTGAGTTGAAATTAACGTAAATTATACTGACTGTGTAAATTTTAGGTCAAGGTTGTAATGTGGTAAGTAGAAGGGAGTTTGTGGATTGTGTTATTGCAGCATTGAAAAAACATCTTATTTAAGCATTTTTACTTTAAGTCTAGTGAGTTTGGGAGGCATCTTTTATTGTAGTATGTGGAAGAGGAGGGCGGAGAGAAGGAAATCCATTGACGAGGAAGGTGTAATTTCTCGTTTTTCTTACCTTGCTTACCTAGTGAACACTGGTGAAGGAAATTTTCTGTGTACCGCAAGCCATTCTGAAAGGTTATCATACACTGCAGCTCTGTACTGAACTGTCTGTACATCTGCATCCTTAAAGTGCCAGTGCTGTGCTCACCTGAGAGGAGCGTGCTAACTTCTGGTGTTCCTGTTTCTGCAGGTAAAAATGGAGATCTCCTTCCGACCACAGAAGAGGCTGAAGAACTGGAACGGGCCCTACAGGCTGTAACTTCTCTTGAGTGCCTGAGTACCATTGGAGTACTTACACAGACAGATGGTGTGCCAGTTCAGGAGCTGTCAGATAGAGGGATAGGGGTGTTCTCTACAGGTGCTGGAGCTCCAGGAATGCAGTCCTTGAGTCGAGAGGTTAACACGGATCTGGGGGAGCTGTTGAATGGGCGTATAGTACATGATAATTTCTCCGGTCTGGAGCTGGATGAGAACTTGCTCCGTTCTGCTACCTTGTCCAACCCACCTACGCCCCTGGCAGGGCAGATCCAGGGGCAATTCTCAGCCCCAGCCAACGTCAGCCTTACTTCTGCCACTCTCATAAGCCAGAGTGGCCTTGGGGAGAGAGCCTTCCCAGGACAGTTTCATGGACTTCATGATGGCAGCCATGCCTCACAGAGGCCCCACCCTGCCCAGCTGCTGAGCAAGGCAGATGACCTGATCACCTCACGACAGCAATACAGCAGTGACCATTCACACTCCTCACCCCATGGAAGCCATTATGATAGTGAGCATGTGCCGTCTCCCTACAGTGACCATATCACATCCCCTCACACCACATCCTTTTCTGGTGATAACTTGGCAGCTACCTTCTCAGCAGAGATGCCCATGATGGCACAGCACTTGCTCCCAACTCAGCTGGATGTGCCACTTAGCGGGGTGGTCAACCCCAGAACTCACTGGGGAAATCTTCCTGTCAATCTTGGGGACCCCTCTCCGTTTAGCAACCTTCTTGGTGCAGATGGACACCTCCTGTCCACCTCCCTGTCCACACCACCTACCACCTCGCACTCAGAGACCACACAGCCTGCCTTCGCCACTGTGACCCCCAACAGCTCCAGTGTGCTTCCGGGGTTACCGCAGACCAGTTTTAGTGGCATGGGTCCTGCCTCCGCTGAACTCATGGCCTCCACCTCCCCTAAACAACAGCTCCCTCAGTTCAGCGCAGCCTTCGGGCACCAGCTGAGCTCCCACAGTGGCATCCCCAAGGACCTGCAGCCCAGCCACAGCTCCATAGCTCCTCCCACGGGCTTCGCAGTGACCGGTGCCACCGCTACCAGTACCAATAATGCATCCGCGCCCTTCACCACCTCCAACTGAGCTTGTCTGCCTGGCTCTGTGCAGGTAGATGGGGGACCTGTGTTTTCTATCTTTCCTTTTTTCCTTTTTCTTTACTTTTTCTGTCCTCCCTTCCCTTTTTTTTTAAGAGGGGGTTCAGAAGAAAACCCCTGCTTCAGTACTGACCAGGGTTAGCCCTCTGTGAACCTTGCTGTAGCGTTCACATGTGCTTGTTATGCACCGGTGCTCATTCATTGCAGGCAGGTTCACCGTTCCCCAATAATTCCTTAAGGATACAGTACAGATACTGGATGTAATTGATCTTAGCAGTAAGACCTAGAAATGGGAAGATACCTCAGATTACTGATGCATGTTACTGTTTCCTAGGGTTCGGATCAGTGCTTGCCATCCCATTAGCATCTGGTAGAAAGTTTTCCAGTGGGCAGAAGTCTCTTGATTTTTTTTTTTTTTAATTTACTCTTTTTCCAAAGGTAGCATCTGGCATGGAAAACTTGGCTGCACGCATTGATTTGAGAATGGTGCACTGAAGTCCTAAATCAAGATCATGGTTCAAGGATGAGTTTGGCAGTTTCTTAAAATAGTCTCTTGACCTCCTCTGTGTGCGTGTGTGTGTTTGGGGTGCAGGGAGCAGCAGTTCCTTTTCTTCTTTTGGTGAAGAAGTGGGAGTTGTCCCCTTCCAGAACTGGTCACTGTTCTTACTGCATGCTGATTTTGGGGTTTTTATTATGATGATTTTTAATTCATTGAACAGCAAGGGGATCAGTTGACTGGTTGCCCAGAATCTGAAGGCTGATATGAAGTTAGCCCAGGGAAAAAAAGACAGACAGAAGAATTGAAATAGATCATGGATTAGTGAAGATTCCTGTACAGAAATTCCCTCCCTTGCTGAATTACTGTGGCCTTGTAGCATTGATGATTTGCCTTTTCAAGTGTGGCGTTGTCCAGAACTCCTTGTCTGACAGGCTGACAGGTATTTCCCAGCTGAAACTGGAAGAATTTGGTTGGTATTCTGCCCATCCACACAAGTCTAGGTCAGACCCTTTGGTAAGTTTTAAATGGATGCATTTCTCCAAGTATGTCTAGCTACTGAGACTTTCTTGGATAGTTTTCCCCCCCTGGGAGCCATATAGTTTTTCTGACACTTGTAGGGTTTGATGCCCTGTATGAGAAGCTGAATGTATGTAAGGAACTAGCAGGTACCTATCAGCAGCCATGGCTAACCAAAAAAGAAATCGCTAAAGCAAAATAGAGAGATAAGAATTCCTTCTGTCTGCAGGACAGTTTTGCTTTTGCTGCCTACCTGCTAAAGATAGTATTCAGACTCTTTGGTCGTAATTTCAGTTCTTAAAGAAAGGAGTCCACTAGCTTTTAGATTTTTGGTTTTTTAATTTTATTTAATGTTTTTTAATCCAAGAGATAACAGCAGCAGAAATTCTGAGGTGTTTACTTGCATCTCTTTATCAGGAAGGGAAAAAGGGAATTTGTTGTTACTTTATAGGGCTCAAACTTGCTACTGTACTCTGACTTTGACTGTAAAAGTAGCTCCTACTCAATATAACAAGTCTCTACTCTTCTTGATTTGTTTTTGAGATGCGGATGAGAGAGAACAGAAAATCCCACATTTTAATCCCTTACTATAGAAAACGGATTTCATTCTACCTTACAGTAAAATGTCCTACCTGCACGTATTCCAGTCTAATTAAGAGATACCAAGCACATGTAATACGGAGGCCTAATAAATTGTTTGAGCAAGGGATCATTGAACGAAGTTTAGTTGCTATAAAAATTAATTTTGTTAGCAGTCAGGCCCACACCAAAATCTCTGACCCAAACCTCTCCTTCCATCTTGCTAAGGAACAGAATTTAAACGGGACAGGTCTTGTGTCTTCTTACTATGGTAGCAATCATACTATCCCTCTTTTCTTGAAAGATTTGTTCTCCTTAAATATAAAGGAGTATGGATGATGCATATGTCCTTTTCTGAAATTGCAAGTGTATGTGGGTGGAGGAAACAAAAATTATTTTCATGCTTCTGTTGTTATGAAGTCCTTATTTCATACTTGGTAAAATAGATCTTAATAATATAAGCCGAATATTTTTAAGTGGTGATTTAAATATGTTTGTAACATTTAAATGTTTTTAAATCATGTAAAAAGTTGAATTGAAGCCTATGAAATCCTGCTTGTGATTGTCCTGCTGATTGAGGAATGCCCAGTGGTGTTGTGAAATGAGGCAAATCTGACAAGGCATTTATTTATTTTTGTATTATGTTCCCCATACTTTGTTGAGGAGACAACTGTTTGATTTGCAAATGATTTTTGTTGTGTCCATATACCTTCTTCAATGTGTTTGGATGGCTGGCTGAAAAAGAGTGGAGAACTAGTATACCAAAAGGTTAATTCTTTAATCTGCTTGTGTATTCATGTCATTTTAGAGGATGTTAATTTCTATAAACTGGTTTCAGGACTTTGGTCTTGAAATCATTCTTGTGCCCGTCAGACTCTAATGAAGCTGCAGCTAGTGCAGAGTATATTTGCCCCACATCACATTTCTCTTTCTTAGCAAATGCTGGCGGGGAAGGGAGGAGAGGAACTGACAGCCAAGTTCTGCTTGCTCACGTTGGTATAAATTACAGAAGAGCTCTTTGGTCTAAGGTCACTGTGACTTTGTACTGGTCTAACTCGGAACAGAACCCAGCTCCTAATCTGAGCATTGATTTAGACAGGGAATTTCAAAAGCTGTCAAAGCTAAGCAGGTCCGTAATTCCCATCTGAAATCAATGGCCCTTATGTACCTGCTGCATTCCTTTAAGGCAGCCTAGGATATCAACTCTCTTCCCGCACTTAGACTTCAATTTTTGTATATCCCTTGATGACTCTTCCCTGAAAGGTGACTACATAACATTTTTCAATAAGCAAACCAAGTTTGCAATAAAGCTGCACTTTTAAAAATAACGTTTGGTTTGTATACATTTGAAATAGGAATCTTTCTGTCCTGTCTGACACAGAGTTCTGAAATGGGCCACCACTCTTGCCTTTTCCTGGTTCACCTCCCGTTTTTTCACTGCTGCCAATTTCATGGTTAGCCTACCAAGCAGTTACGGGTCTTGATCTTAGCTTTACAGGGTGGACCATTCCAGGTGGGCTTCTACACCCACACAACCTGTTGACTTCAGTGAATCAGTGTCTTACTGTTGAATATGATACATCCAGTCTGAGAGGTATGTGCAGCCAGAGATGTTTCGCATCTCTTCCTCTGTGAAATACTGCAGGTCTGGTTAAGGTAGTCCTCGAGGCTCTTATTTATGTGGTTCCTGAGTAGAATCTGTGCTCTCTTGCAAAGGTTTTTGAGTATCATCTCCTTGTATAGCAATTAGCACTCTAATCGCCCTTTCACCAAAGAGCCATTGTAGCAATTTCAGCCCATTGATTTGAGATGGTCGATACCTGTCGTGCCCTTTACGTGTTAACAAATGGAATAAAGCTAGTTGAACCTAAAAGTTAATTTCTTTACATAAGATTTGAGTTTTAAAGAATTGAAAAAAAATTAGACTTAGAATAAAATACCAGTAACATCGTTTTTGGTAATAATAGCACCTCAATTAGTCTTTGTACAAAAGTACTTAACACAAGATGAACTTTGACAGTGTACAGAGGGCTCATCAGGGGCAGCCTCATGCTGGCCTGGTGTGCAAGGCATTCTGTAAGACATGCTTCGACGTTTTCTTTCACTTAGGAAGACTTTACGCCAACTTTGAGGGGAGCTATATGCACTTAGATACTTCAGATTTGATTTATTCTTTGGCCTTGTAATTACTATGATACAAGAAGATGTATATATGATGCAAGAAGATGGAAAAGATGCATTATTTTGTCTCCTCCTGCCTTCCAGTTCCTCCAGGTTCTTGCTCGGTTCCCTTCTTAGTAGCATGCTTCTCTCTATCGTTGGGCATAAAGGCTTTAAATTGATAACCGTGGGAGGTATTGGAAGTACAAATGCAAGAGAAAAGATGTCCAAGGAGAGTCATCCATAATAGCAAAGAGAAGCCAAAGGAAGTGGCTTTTTTTTTTTTTTTTTTTTTTTTTTTTTTTTTTAGAGGGAGATGAGTATTAGTTGAAAAATCGGGAAGTTCTGTTGTGAGCTGTTAGACACAGTGTGGTGCCACTGGCTTCAGGTGCATGGCCAAGGCAAAGGGCCTAGGATTGAATCTGCAAACCGGTAGCCAATATACACATCTAAATACAGTCTGGGATTGAATCTGCTTGCCAGGAAAGAAGAGTCTTATGAAGAAGTACAATAATCAGTGGACAGGTGTCTTCCCTGAGAAGCTGGCCCTGGTGGTTACATACACATGTTGTTGGTCTGCCTCTGAATTCCAGCTCCTCCCTGAGCTCCTGCAGCATTGTGGCTGCTGCGTTTCCCTGTAGGCATCAGCAAGGTGCCAGGGGTGTTTCTCCCCATCTTTGTGCTGCAACAAGCTGAATCCACTGTTGAATTCTCCAACAGTATGAGCCTTCGGGCAGGGAGGAGAGAAAAATTTTTAGAGGAGCCAGCTACCTGCAGTTGAATCTTTCAAGACTTGTAGGGTGCGGGGATGGTGGCAGGAGGTGCTTTCAGCAGGCAAACAATAGAAAAGTTACCTGCAGTGATACTCTGCAGTGAGGCATTTGTGTGGATGTTTCCTTTTGCTTTTGTATTTTTACCATTACTTGCCTGTTGCAATGTCCGGTAGTGGTGGAAATATTAACTGAAGGAATAGTTTCGCGCTAATGTGCTGACTAGGTCTTTCTGATCTTCTGGTCATGAGGTCTTTCTGATTTCTTGGGTTACATTTAATGATGGGGTGTGGTGTTGCGCACTGCTTCTTGTACCTCCTGTATTTCCTTTCTCTATATTCATCATTCTTTCTTTTATTCTCCCATTCTCAGATACTTCTCCAGTGTAAGTAATGCCAACCAGTAAGTCTTCCGTGGTCCTGAGCGAATCTGACTGTAAAACGAAAAGGAGGAGAGATTCCTGCAATTCATAACATATATTTTGGATGCTAGAATGACAGTACAATAGATCAAAGTATTTCTCAGATCAGTT